AAGGACGTGGAGCAAGGGAACACCCCTCCGTTGCTGGAGGGAGTGCAAACTTGTACAACCACTTTGGAAACCAATATGATGGTCTCTCAAAAAATTTGGGAACTGATCTACCTCAAGACCCAGCTATACCACTCTTGGGCATATAGCCAAAGGATGCTCAATCATATCATAGGGACATTTGCTAAACTGTTCATAGCAACTTTTTTCATAATAGCCAGAACCTGGGAAACAACCTAGATGTCCCTCAACTGAAGAATGGATAAAGAAAATGTGGTACATTCACACAATGGAGTAGTACTCAGCTGTTAAAAACAATGGTGTTATGAAATTTGCAGGCAAATGAATAAAACTAGAAAAAAAAAACATACTTAGTAAGGTAACCCAGACCCAGAAAGTTCAAAACTTTGTATTCTGAAGAAGCCTATGTGCAAAATGCCACCAAATGGCAAAACCAACAGTAAACAGTTTGACTGAGAGAGCAAGATGAGCTTCTAATGTGTCTCCTAGAATCAGTTCAGGGTTTTCATGCTTGCAACCCAAAGAGTTGGTGAGACTATTTCAGGAGATAATCTTGGGAGAAAGAGGAAGATGAAAAAGAAAAGGAGTAGGAAAAGGAAAAAAGAAACACAAAAAACAAAAACACAAAACACATGGTTGGTGAAGCCTAAAATTCAGTGGAAGACTACATAATCAAATGTGGTGGTATTTACCTGAACCCCCAGCTCTTGGGAGGTAGAGGTACCAGGATCAAAAGTTCAATATCATCCTTGACTATACAGTGTGTTAGGGATAACTTGGGCTATATAAGACCCTGTCTTAAAATAAAAAATTAAACTTAAGTTAGTAAAGGAAGTAGGAGTTATTATATTTTGTTTTTGAGACAGGATCTTACTAGAAACCCCTTTCTGGCTTAGAACTTCATGTGTAGATCAGGCTGCCTTGAACTCACAGAGATCCATCTGCCTCCACCTCGTGAGTGTTGTGATTAAAGGGATGTTTGCATATTAAATTTTCAAGTATAAATAAGACAAAACCAGCTGGGTGGTGATGGTCTATGCCTTTAATCCCAGGACTTGAGAGGCACGTGGATCTCTGTGAATTTGAGGCCAGTCTGATCTACAGAGCAAGTTCTAGGACAGTCAAGGCTATACAAAGAAACCCTCAAGAAGAAGAAGGAGGAGGAGGAGGAAGAAGAAGAAAAAGAAGAAGAAGAAGAAGAAGAAGAAGAAGAAGAAGAAGGAGAAGGAGAAGAAGAAGAAGAAGAAGAAGAAGAAGAAGAAGAAGAAGAAGAAGAAGAAGGCCGGGCGGTGGTGGTGCACACCTTTTATCCCAGCACGTGGGAGGCAGAGGCAGGCGGATCTCTGGGAGTTCAAGGCCAGCCTGGTCTACAAGAGCTAGTTCTGGGACAGGCACCAAAGCTACAGAGAAACCCTGTCTCGAAAAACAAAAAACAAAAAACAAAAAAAAAAGGAAGAAGAAGAAGAAACCATGTGTTGGCTTGGGCAGCACACTTGCTAAAATTGGAACAATTACGGAGATGATTAGCATGGCCCCTGTGCAAGGGTGGCATGCAAATTTGTGAAGTGTTCCATATTTTTGACTTGTTACTAAGGATGCTTCTTTCAAAGCTGATAATGCTGAACTATCTTAAGTGACATGTTAAGCCTACTTTGTTCGTTGATGTACTGGAACTTAAGATCATGTAAGAAAAAGATGTATTACTGCTTTTCCTACTTTGATCATTTCCAGTGAGTAAATAGATGTTTTGAATAATAAAAAAGACAATGAACCAGATGGTGTAAAAGATATATATGGAATAACAAACAAAATGGGAACAGGTATGTACGTCTAATGGCTCATGGGACATAAAAATACACTCCTTCTGCAGCCCACTGGGCCGACTAGGTTCTTCTCATGGAGCCCTGTGTTGCAAGCAGCAGCCTGCTTGGGAGTGTTCAGCTTGGACCTTGTTTGGGTTGCCCCGAGGGGCCTTTGAGATAGAGTTTTCTGGTGAATACGCACGTCTCTGAGCTCCTGTTGTTCCTACTCTACGCTCCAGACCTGATACAGGGGACAGTTTCACACAAGACAGGTCATCAGGTCCATCTGCTTAAGCTTCAGAATAAGGAACATGTGTTTGAGGCTCTGGGGAAGGCCAGGTTCAAGTTCCCTGGCCACCAGAAGAAGTAGGGCTTCACCCAGTTTAATACAGACAAATTTGAAGACATCGTAGCTGAGAAGCAGCACATCCCTGATGTCTGCGGGGCTAAATACATGCCTACATGTGATTCCCTGGACTAGTGGAGGCCCTGAACTCCTGAGGGCTACCGCTGTGCTGAGTTCCATATTCTGCCAATCATGTTTGCTAATAGCTCTCACATTCAAAACAGACAAAACAGACAAACCAACCAACCATAAAGCCAGATGTAGTGGCTCATGCCTGCAATTCTAGTACTTGGTGAGTGGAGGCAGAAGGATCAGTATTTCAAAACTAGCCTCGGCTACAAAGGGAGTTCAAGGCCATCCTAGACTACATAAGACCCTGTCTTTAAAAGTGTTCAAGAGCACACACACACACACACACACCACAACAGTCACACAACATTTAGGAAGCTAAGGCAAGAAGGTTGAGATTTCTAGGACACCCTGGGCTACAGAAAGAGAGCCTCATCTCAAAAACTCACTAAATAAAATAACAGCAAAACAAACTACACACATACAAAGCCTAAATAAATGGAGAGATACATTATTACCATGTTTGAAAATTAGGAGATTTAATATTGATAAAAATGTTAATTCTCCTCAAATTAATCTGAATATTTAACACAATCCCACATGAAATACTAATAGACTGTTTTTCTAGAAGTCAATGAATAGATGCTAAAATTTATATAAAAACTCAATGGCATAGAGGAGCACACTTAAAATATTAGCACTGGGGAGGCTGAGGCATAAGGATTTTTTTTTAATAGACTTTGATGTTTTGTCCCGCACATATGTCTGGGTGAGGGTGCTGAGTCCCCTGGAACTGGAGTTACAGACAGCTGTGAGCTGCCATGTGGGTGCTGGGAATTGAACCCGGGTCCTCTGGTAGAGCAGTCAGTGCTCTTAACTGCTGAGTCGTATCTCCAACACAGAGTTAGAAGAATCTTTTTTTTTTTTTTTTTGGTTTTTCGAGACAGGGTTTCTCTGTGGTTTTGGAGCCTGTCCTGGAACTAGCTCTTGTAGACCAGGCTGGTCTCGAACTCACAGAGATCCGCCTGCCTCTGCCTCCCGAGTGCTGGGATTAAAGGCGTGCGCCACCACCGCCCAGCTGAGTTAGAAGAATCTTAAGTCTGTGGCTTGTGTTGCTAAAAATGAAACATCAAAGCAGTTGTGGATGGTTGTAAGCCACCATTGGGTGCTGGGAACCAAGCCCAGTCTTCTAGAAGAGCAGCCAGTGCTCTCATCTGCCGAACCATCTCTCCAGGCTGTGTCCTAGTTTATAATCAATCACCTCAGTATACAATCAAGGGGCCAAGAATTTAGCTCAGCTACCCCTAAACAATGTTTTTAAGAGATGGGGGTCTCTGTGATAAGGATGATTGCAAACTTCCAGACTCAGGTAATTCTCCTGCTTCAACACATGGAGAAGCTGGGACAAAAGGTGTCTGCCATTATGACTGGCACACTGAATGTTTTCAAAGTCTGGTTTGCTGAAGTTAGAATCAGAATTTTCTGGAAGCTTGAATCTGAGTATCCAGGGTTGACCTGGGGATCACCATTGCAATAGGCTTGCCAGGCATGTCCCCTGCTCCGTGGGAACTCGGCTTTGGTTGCTGGCATCATTGGATCCCTGATGGCTGGGGAGAAACTGCTTCTGTCTCTGGGTTCTCATGTTTGGCTCAGGTGCTACTTGCCAGAGGGTGAGCAGCATGCCTTTTTGAGATGAATGGGATGTCACCCAGCATGGTACTGGTTCTTACGCTACCCTGGCATTCGTGGACTGTGTACGAGATGACATTTCTACTTGCTGGGGTCCTGACACTGAAACAGAAACTGCAGAAGGGAGGAAAGTTGTAGCCCAGACCGTGGTGGAGGGGAAGCATCTGTAATAGAAATATTATATAATGAACTCTTACTCTGGGGCCCATTCACCAAATTAAGACCTTCACTGGAGCTTGAGACCCTTGATTCTCGGCTTTCCTTTGTACCCAACTGCACATTTTATATTTTCACATTTATTTGTTTATTGTCTCTCTTCTCTTCTCTTCTCTTCTCTTCTCTTTATTCTGTCTCTGTCTCCCCCCCCCCCCCCGCCTCCCCCGTGTGTTTGTGTGCACGCGCGCGCACGAGTGTGTTGTGTAGATACCCACGTACCACAGCTTTCATGTGGCGGTCAAAGGACAATTTTCAGGAGTTGGTTTTCTCCTTCCCCATGAGATTGAACTCAGTGTTCTTCAGGGCTCCACCACCATTTCCATACCTCCAAGACTGGGGCAGTCCCTTGTTTCTTCAGATTTGTGGCAATCTGACTTCTTTTATGATTTGCCAAAGTCCCATTTACTTGGGCAATTCTTTCACTACCGTCTATCTCCCTCACAAAGACCTTTACAGCGGGACATCCTGGGCACCGAAGTGCCTGGCAGGTACTCACTGGGTGGATGGCTCTGCAGGAAGATAGGGCACAGCCTGAGACCACAGTGGATCCATAAAAGAGAGGCCATCACTCCCCAGGGAGATTAGTAGAATGAAGGGCAAGCCTCAGCTGTGGCTGAGGATAGAGTTGCCTTGGGAACACTCCAGGGCAAAAGGAGCATTGCAGGGCCCCAGGGGGCACCCAGTTGCCGCCTGGGTGCTTGTGGTCCTCAGTTTCCCCCCCGCAGTTGTCTGCAGCGGCCCTAGCAGCCCTGGGTCACACTAAGCCTCCGTGCCCCTCGAGGGCGCTCCAAGACAGACCTCCAGAGCAGTCGCGCTCGGTCGAGGCCGTTCTAGCCGCGCGGCAGCGGCAGGGGCGGCGCGGGGCGTGTCGGGAAGGCGGCGGGCTTGTGCGATCTTCGGTGGTGGCGGCGACGAGAGCCATGGTGGGTGGCGAGGCCGCCGCGTCAGTGGAGAAGCTAGTTTCCGGGGTGCGGCAGGCGGCCGACTTCGCCGAGCAGTTCCGCTCCTACTCGGAGAGCGAGAAGCAATGGAAAGCGCGCATGGAGTTCATCCTGCGCCATCTGCCTGACTACCGAGACCCACCCGACGGCGGCGGCCGTCTGGACCAGCTGCTGTCCCTCTCCATGGTCTGGGCCAACCACCTCTTTCTGGGCTGCAGGTGCGGACCTCCGCCAGCCGGCTGTCCCCGTCCCCATCTACGGACCCCACATGGGCCATACCCCACCCCACGCTGAACCCGGCCCAGCCTCCTACGGCCTTGGCTGCTTCCCGTCTTAGCAACCCCTCGGGGAAGACGTAGCTCTTCTCTGAGCCTCGCTCTCTTCTGGTGACTGGGTGGTTGTAATGACTGCAGCAGTTAAATGATGGAGAGTGCTATGCAGGTGGGCTCGAGGATGGCTGAATTGCTGGGGTCATTTTTTATTACTTTTTATTATCCCGGAAGATTGCCTTTGCAGAGTGTGTTTGAAGTCCATTAGTTCCTGTCACCCACTTAGCAAAAGTGCAGACCGAAGCTGAGACTTCCTCCTCCCCCTCTAGATGAAGACACTAGCAAGAGGATGTGATATATCGCACCATTGGCTGGTGGTTTTCACCGCTAAGACAGGATGTAATCTTTGCCTCTTCATTTTCCTCTTTGCTTTCCTTCTTAAGAAAGGAATGGTACTTTCTTATTGCTGTCCCAAAGCCCCCAGGACCTTTGCGATCACACCAGGAGGCCAAGAGCGAGGGGGGGGGGAAGCACTAGGTTTTTGCACTCCTTTATGGTTTTTTATTTAATTTTCATTTTTAAAAACTTTTTTTTTTTTAAATATTTATTTATTTATTGTGTATATAATATTCTGTCTGTGTGCATGTCTGCAGGCCAGAAGAGGGCACCAGACCTCTTTAAGGATGGTTGTAAGCCACCATGTGGTTGCTGGGAATTGAACTCAGGACCTTTGGAAGAGCAGGCAATGCTCTTAACCACTGAGCCATCTCTCCAGCCCTTTAAAAACTTTTTTAAGGCAGTCTCCTTTTAACTGAGGCTGACCCTTCAGTTTATTATATAACCCAGATAGTCCTGGAATTCCACATACTGAAATTATGCGTGCATCTCCAAGCTCTTATAAAGGCTTCTAAAGTTTCTTTAAGTTGTGTTAAAATAGGACCGCCTGACTCATCTGATTTTTGTATCCTCTAGCTGGTCACATGGCCCCTCCAGGACAAACCACTTGGTTTGCCTTTTGGGTTTTGTGCTAGGGATGAAGCCCAGGCCCTAGCACCAAATAGGTACTCTACCTCTGAGTACCTCCAGCCCTGAAGGTACTTGGTTTCTGATATTTGTTAGAAGGAGATGTGGGGAAGCTGTGCCCGACATGCACCACCCACGTATGCCCACCCTCGTATGCCCACCCTCCCTTTGCCTTGTAAGGTGCCCTCAGAAATCGTAGTTTACAGGAGCCAAGTTCAGACAGATAACTGAGCTGAACAAAGGAACGAATGCTGTTATTTTCATTAGACCAATACTCTCTGTGTTTTAAAAATAAGTTTTTGGTGGGCAGTAGTGGTGCTCGCCTTTAATCCCAGCACTTGAGAGGCAGGGACAGGCGGATCTCAGTGAGTTCGATACCAGCCTGGTCTACAAGAGCTAGTTCCAGGACAGGAACCAAAGCTACAGAGAAACCCTGTCTCAAAAAAGAAAAAAAAAAAAGTTTTTGGCTCTCAAATCTCATCCATGAATATGTACTACCACCAGATGTATGATGCTCTGTTTTTCTAATTTTATTTATTTACAGCTTTTTTTCAATTTTATATGGATGCGTGTTTTGTCCACACATGTGTCTGCCCCATGTGAGTAGCCTGGTGACAGTGGAGACCAGGAGAGCACTGGGTTCCGTGGATCTGTAGCTGCAGATGGTTGTGAGCCAGCATGTGGTTGCTGGGAATGGAAATGGATGGATCCTTTGGAAGAGCAGCAAGTGCTCTTAACTGCTCCTGTTTTGTAATTAAAATTTTTTTTTAAAAAAATTTATGTGTATAGATATGTACCGAGTATCCTCAGATGCCAGAAGAGGGCATCAGATCCCTGAGAACGGAAATTATAGCCATGTAGGAACTGAACCCAACTCCTCTGCAAGAGCCTTAAGTGTTCCTAGCTGCTAAGCCATCCTTCCAGTCCCTGTGTTTGTAATTCTTCAAACTTCGACCATCTTGGCAGTCTGCGGGCCTCGTTCTGTACCCACAGGCGGGGAGAGCCACTTGTTGACCGTGTGCTGAACATTGTAGTTTCCCCTGAAGTATCAAACCAGCACCTTGCAGATCATGGTGTGTATCTGGAGTCCCAGGTACTGAGAAAGCTGATAGGAGCATTGCTTAAACCTCAGATGCTGTAGTGTGATCTAACTAATGTACAGACAGTTCTGTAGTCTAGGAATTGCGTTTACAGTCTAAGAACCTACACTCTGTTAGCAGCCCCTAATGACAGTGCGTCTTCCCAGGTCTTCACCTTCCTGCTTTTTATTGTGCAGTTACAGTAAAGACCTTCTGGACAAGGTGATGGAAATGGCTGATGGGATTGAAGTGGAGGACCTGCCACAGTTTATAACCAGAAGTGAATTAATGAAAAAGGTAATGAGTAGGGGTGACAATCCCAGCTTTGACCCTGTGCTGTGTTTTGTGCACTCTTGTTTCCCGTTTCCTCGCAGGTTGGTCTAAACCTTTTCATAACTAGACAACAACTCAGCGTGATAGATTATGCGTTGTTGGTGGAGTAACACGCAGGCTCAATCTCTTTGCACTTTTCTCTTGGTGCCAGGGACTGAACCCAGGTCCTTTATACTAGATAAACTGGGAATCAGGAAGGCCAGGGACTGAACCCAGGTCCTTTATGCTAGATAAACTGGGAATCAGGAAGATCCTCATTCCTCCAGCTGTCCCACTCCTGAAGGACTAAGTGGACATAGCACAGAGATTTTACACACCTGTGTTTGTTGCTGCACTGTTCACAGTAAGCAGCCGAAGTATCCATCACTAGACGAGTGAATATGGAAATGCCGTCCACATACACAGTGAAATCCTAGTCAGCTGTGAAGAAAAATGAAATGGGATGTTCATGGATAGAAATGGAGGTCATTATGTTGAACAAAATAAGCTAGAACTCAGAAAAACAAACATGTTTTCTTTCATAGGTAAAATGTAGGTTTAAGGGCATGTATTGTTTTTGTGTTGATAAGAATGGAACCTAGAGCTTTGTGTGTGCTAGGCAAGTGCTCTACCCCGTGCCGTACAGACTCTTTCCACACAGGCTCCTGCCCAGGCTGACCTTGCCCTTTAGCTAGGCAGGCTTGAGCTTTCAGTTCTCTTGCCTCTGCCTCCCTGATGGCCTGGATGCCAGATTTCTGCCCCCAGGAACAAATGTTTTACTTGCTATTTATTTATTTATTTATTTATTTGTGATAGGATCTTGCTCTACAACCCTGGCTGGCTTGGAACTTGACATGCATACCAGGCTGTTGGCAAACTTCATACGATCCTCCTACCTCTGCCTCCCTAGCTCTGGGATTATAGGACTAAGTCCCCAGATTTGGCCTGTTTTGCTTTATATATATATATATGTATCTGGCTTAGAGTGCTAAAGTAAGAAGTACTTCATTGTAGACTAATTCATCCAGGATCTCTGCTTCAGCAGGTCAGGGCTGGACCAGGTTGTGGGGACTGTCTGATTTGCTGATGAGGAATGTGGTAGGGTAGTGTCCAGACAGCACAGCTGTGCTCTAGTCTTCAGGGCTTAGTCTTAGGGCTGTGGCCTTGTCCTCAGTGAGCTTTGTCCTAGAGTCTTAAGTCTGGATCCTGGATCCCTGGGGCCAGGAAGAGGCAAAAGGAACTTTGGAGATTGGGGCTGTCTGTCCCAGCTAAATGCCCCAGGATTCATTCTTCCCACATCTGTCCTGGTCTCTTCAGGCAGAATTGCTCCCTTGTTTTCTAAAGTCCCTTCGATATCTGTCTAGGCCTTTTATATACAATTTCAAATTACTTATTTGGGTAGAGTGTAAGATTTACTGCTAAGCATGATACAGAAAGTAGTATAGCCATGTAGGAGCCACGATGCAGGGCCTGCTGTGATATCACAGATTGGGTGATGACCTACCTTTCAGCCTCCAGATCTTCAGATTTACTTGCATTAAACTTGGTAAAGCCCCACTTCTGTGAAGTAATACGGGTTTTTTGGCAGCTAGTGAACTTGAACTTGATCTTACGCAGGGCTTCCATCACATGCTCCTTATTCTTAGCTTAGTGCAGAGGGACATGATGACCTAGCCAGTGTGAACCCAGGCCACTGTGTTCCGGGGTTTACCGGAGGCGGCTTAAGTATCTGTCTGGAGCCTGTGAGCCCCATTACAGAACAAGTCAACATCTTGTTGATACAAATAATGGGGAAAGGGTGGATTCATGTTCACACGTGAAAGCCATGTTTGTTCAAACATACTTGACACTCCATGGCTTTGAAGGAGACAATGTGTGGACACAAAATGGGAATTCTTTCACTTTTGTCTTCTGCCCTAAGTCACAGTCTTGGGCCTGTGAGGTGACTCAGCAGAAAAAGGTGTTTGCTGGCAAGCTTGATCACCCGAGTTCAGTACCTGGCACCGACATGGTGGAAGGAACGACCTGACCTCCTGAAAGTTGTCTGCTAACCTCCAATCATGTGCTGTGGCCTGCACGCATACATGAACACTCTTGTGGAAATAAATAATAGCAGTGTAAACTAAACAAGAGATTCCTCTTGGAGGTTGGGGATGTGGCTCAGTGGCAGAGTGCTTGCCTAGGTTTGGTACTCTCTAGGAACCCCAGCAAAATGAAAATTTCTGTAGATAAGTCATCCAGCAGCTGTGACTGGTTTGCATGCATTGAAAACCATCTCTGAGTCCTCTGTAGAGCTCCCCGGGGTCTTCCAAGTAGTATGTCCTTCTTTTCATATCAGATAAAGCTGAAGAGTAGTAGACCAGACAACTAGAAGCCCTGTCATTGTGCCAGCCAGAATTGATCCTCAGCTCTAAAATTAGAGTTTAGTTGGGTTTTAGAGTTCGCTGGCATGTGGAAATGAATCACTTAACATTGTTGGCACCTTGAGGCCAGATAGTGATGATGACTCTCTGGAGTAAAGTTTTAAAAATACATTTTACCCTCCTGCAGCTTTTGGCCAGGTGAACCTTTGCCTGTCCAACCCTCTTTTTTTATTCTGAGGAGTGAGTATGATAGGTGGGCTTTGCTCAACAGTTGGAATGTGTGCTCTTTTCTGAAAGAGGAGCATTCAGCATAGTATAGTGTGCAAACGCCGTGGCTATCTAATCACCAGCAGCCCCTGCCACTGAATCATCACGCCTTTAATCTCAGCACTCTGGAGGCAGAGGCAGGCAGATTTCTCAGAGTTTGAAGTGAGATTGGTCTACATATCTAGTTCCAGGTTAGCTAGGGCTACATAGAGAGACCCGGCCTGAAAAAGAACTAAACAAAACAAACCTAGAATGATTGACAAAGATGCTATCATTGTTGGTGCACAGACATTGTTAATGTCATAATTTGATTCTTCCCATGAGGAAAAACAGTTGTGTGAAAGTGACCACAGGTAGCAATGTGAAAATCGGAAAAGCGGGTGTGCCTGCATGTCACGAGGTTCTTCTGTGCTCTGTGCACAGTCGCAGCCAGCACTGAGGCCATATTTTCACGAAAGCCATAATCAGACATGGATGTCCATAGCTTTAATCCTAGCACTCAGGAGGTAGAGGTGAGATCAGGGGCTCAGGGTCATCCTTGGCTACAGAGCCAGTTGAAGACAAGCCTGGGCTATGCAGATCCTGTTCAGGGAGAGGGAGAAGGAAGAAAAACTAGATCTGATTCCAGGGGTCTAGTCTTGTAGTCCTGAGTCCAGGATAGTTGGATCACCTGACAGCACCCTCTGGAGAAGACAGTAGTCTAGGTCTATCCAGTTGAAAATCTGAGCAAGGGGCTGGAGAGATGGCTCAATGGATAAGAGCCCTGGTGACTCCTCCAGAGGATCCTGGTTCAATTCCCAGGACCTGCATGGTGGTTCATAATCTTCTAGAACCCTAATCCCAGAGGCTCTAACTCCCTCTCCTGACACCTCCTCGGGCACCAGGCATACACTGGTGCACAGACATGCAACACCTATCTATATACATGATAGAAAACCTGAGTGAGATGGCTTGGGATGTCACCCCTGGACTGCAGGTAGTTTCCTTGGTCATACTGCATTCTCCTGAGAGAAAGACTGGTATTTTATCTTTGCTGAGGATTTTTGGTTTAGCTAGAAAGTAGGTCATACCTTGAAATCTCTGATTACTAAAAAGACTTTGTTGATTCACTCACACTCTCAGTGTCAAGGGAACCCATTCAGACCCAGGGTGACAGTCAGTGCTTTCTTCACACCCTCCTTGAAAGGTTTCTAAAGCTAGGTTAAATTACCACAAGTGCTAGCGAGCACCTGGAAGGGATCTGTGGGCTCCGGGTCACCACTGTTTGCAGACTCACTTTGACAGTTTCTAATCGTGTGAACTCCAAAAATATGTAACCTTCACATCTCCTAAGTGCCCTGACTCAGTGTGGAGAGCTGCAAATTACTACCTGAATGTGGCCGTGTTGGATTTAGAACAGTGAGTGTCTGTGAGAGCAGAGGCCGGTGGCAGGAGTAGCATTTTAAGTATTTCTGTAATCACTTTAAATGGTGAACACTTAGAGACAGCAAGCCTCAAGTCGGGGAGGTGAGGTTCTGGTTTCCAAGTGGATCATGCGGTCAGTGTTTAGCTGCATTTTCTTAGGTAGTAAAATATTAATAATTTCTGAGTACACTTGCCATCTGGGTCGAGCATAAATATTCCATTGCTGCTTTATTTGAATGTGTGAAAATAAACTTGATTCATGGGACTCAATGGCTGTCTAACTTTCTCTTCTCTTTTTTCCCCAGCATCAAAGCTAAGGCAGATGTACCACATTTCCTCCCCTGGGGACAGACTTAGAAAGGAGACCAGGGTGGAGGTGAACCATGGCAGCTCTTGAGATTTCTGGTGTTTGCAGCACAGAAGCAGCTGGAATGGAAAGGGACGTGTCTACAAGTGCTTCAGAGAAGTCTTGGTTCTTCCAGAAGCTGTTGCTGTGAAGTGCAGTACATATGCATATTCGTGTGTTTATTAAATGGCGGACTCTCCGAAATTTTGTCTGCATTGTCCAAGCCAAACTTTATTTGAAATGCCTTTTATGTTGGTATAATAATGACAGTGATTTTTTTTTTTTTAGCAGAGTACCTTTAAATGTAATTCTGGGTTTTGCCCCACCCCCTTTTGTCCTTCTGAGGCAAGCCAGATTCTCCTTATTTCGATCTAACCCACTCTGTACTTGTTCCTCACTGCCAGTTGCCACCAAAGGACTGTGCATTAACCAGCTGTGTCACTGGAGCGCCCCACTGCTGGCCTCTCAGCAGTGTGCAAGAAAAGGGAATCGTGCGGCAGCCCTGAAGTAGCCGAGCTAGCTCATAGGAAAGAGGACACTTACACAAAAGCTTCTGATCTCATCTTAGACTTCACCGAGGGCCAGAGATGTAGCTCAGTGAGAAAGGGCTTGCTTAGCATGCTTGAGGTCCTGGGTTTGGTCTCCATTATTACAGAGAGACAGAAAAAAATAGCTAGATAAAAATTCCTGGAAGTTTATACAGCTTTGTCCCGCCAGCTAGCTGATTTCCAGACTTTCTAGGTCTCCCGGGCTGCTCGTGTGCTTATTTTCTCTGTTTCTGGAAGGCTTTCAGGATAAAAAAACTGCCTTGCACATTGCCTCTGGATTATATTACAGTCATACTTTGCTTAGATGATGGTGTTGATATTCTACCTGACAGCTGATATATCTGTTCCAAACCCCCTTCCAGATCCTTCTATTGAGTCTCACCATTAGATGAAAGATACCTGAACTGTGGGTAGCAGTGGAACAGTGTGCCAAGCAGGACTCATCAATGGCATGCCCATCATGGTCAGTAAGACAATGGGGTCTGCCTTGGCTTATCTACTGAGTACAGGAAATTGGACACCCAGACGCTGGGGCCAGTGGTGTCCAGCCCCAGAGCAGTGGGACAACATTCTTATTGGTGGCTTGAGATGAAGGCCACATCTTTGTGTGGTTCCTGGCTCCAGACCAAGTGACCAGGATGGATCAGGGGTCAAGATCATTGACTGAAACCTTGGAAAAACTCCAGGCACTGGAGACCAGGGTGCCAGTCACAGAGGCCTGGGCAAGGTAGTAACTATCAGAACTGAGCTATGTGCTCACTGACTTAGCTTTATCTCACCTCAAACTCAGCCTCACCTTCTTCCATTCAAATCATTTGTCAGATCTGTGAGGCTTAAAAACAAGATGAAAAATTGTGATAATTCACTTTAAAATGCACTTTCTATAGAGTGTTGATTTTATTTTCTGTATTCAATCCCCAATAAAACAGCTTTTCCACTGAATGAAGTTCGAGTTGTGTGGTTGTTCTCATGCCCTTCAATATACTTCCTTACACGGAGGTAGCTGGACACCCAGAATCTTGGCAAGTGGAGCTGGTTGCAGGCATAAAGTTTTGGGGTCAGCATAGCCTTCTGTTCTCTGTTCCTCCCTCCAACCTTCTCTGTTTTGCTTTTCTTTGTTTTTGGTGCTGATTACCAAGCCCAGAACCTCATATGCTAGGCAAGGGTTCCAACATTGAGCTAAGTCCCCAGGCCCCAGGTTAATGTTCTGATTGTAGTGAGTGAGTTTTCTCCCTTTCCTCAGCTAAGCTGCCTGCCTTTCTTCTCATCTTTTTACCACCCGTTGGCTGACTCACCTATAAAATTAACCTGTATTTTATCCTTTATGTATTTCTTCCCAAAACCTTGAAGTGAAAATGTGTGAGATTGTGCAGACCCTTCCTGGGAGAGGACTTTCCTGTGAGCTTGTATCAGGCTGGAAGAAATGAGCACTGACTACAGATGAGAGGTGCTCAGGTTGGTCGTTCTATACCCAGGAAATCGCTCTCTCCCATATTCCTGAGAAGCCTATGGTGCAGTACAAGCTAGGGATGTGACTCAGTAGTGGAAGCCCTGGGTTTGAACCCTTACACCACATGAACCGGATATGGTGGTGCATCCCCGTAATCTCAGCACTAGTGAGTTTAACTCCTGTTCAGGCCATTCTCAGCTGATACTGAGTTCAAGGCTAGCCTGGGTTGCATGTGACCTTGACTTAAAAAAAAATGCACCTGCTGATATTAAAGGTAAGGAAGGTAAGGATTCCCTCTGAGCTTTTCTAGGATTGACGTGGACTGGCTCACCTATCTGCGCAGTGGCAGAAATAACTGCCTACTGGCGAATTCTTTGCAACATGTTGTAATATGTTGCCCTGTCTGAAGTTAGATTCCTGTGCTGCCCACCTGAGCTCTGAAGGATCTTCTGGGCACTGGTGAAGATAACAAGGTGAGTGAGCCTGCTGTCTAGGGGACAGGCCTGTGTGCTTTCATGATAGCCAGCAGCCGGGCTACGAAGGCTAGGGCTTAGAAAGTCCTTCTCTGTGGCCTTCCAACCTCAGTTGCCTGGGGGAACGTCACCATTGTCACTAGGGGTTGAAGACCCATCTCGGTCCTTCTCTGGTTTAAAACTGTTATTTTTCTTTCGAGACAGTGATTCTCTGTGTAGCCCTGGCTGGCCTGGAACTCACCATATATACCAGGCTGGCCTCAAACTCACAGAGATCCACTTGCCTCTGCCTCCCGAATGCTGGGATTAAAGGCATGTGCCACCGCTGCCTGGCTTAAATTTTTTTATTTTATGTGTATGGGTATTTTGTCTGCATGTATGTCTGTATACCACTTGCATGACTGGTGATCTTGGAGGTCAGAAGAGGGTGCTGGATCCCTGGATCCAATCTCCTGGAATTGGAGTTACAGACAGATGTGAGCCATCATTGTGGGAGCTGGGAATTGAACCCAGGTCCTCTGGAAGAGCAGCAAGTTCTCTTAACCACTGAGCCAGCCCTACTTCCCTTTAGGGGCAATTAAGAGGTCATCCTTATGCTGTGTGGGGCTGGTGACAACAGCTTTGCTGTTAAAACCGACATCAAAATGTGTTCCTCTTGGGCTGGATTCTCTCTTCAGTCTGACCATTTTTGAGTCTTGCTATATGGCCTGGTATTCCATCTGCCTTAGCCTTCCATGAAGTAGGGAGACACAGGCGATTCCTAAAAGGTCCATTCGGTTCTCCACAGTGAGTGTGACGGCAGACACGTCCCATTGCCAGTGCCCTTGGTGGGGACATCTGGCAAATCGGACTCCCCTTATTGAAGGACTCTGTGAAACCACGTTTGCACATGCCTGGCACTGCTTCCGTCCTGTCCTGGGTTTCCATTGAGGACAAGCTGGAACATGTTGGAACCAAAGCTTTTGACAAACTTGGGTTCACACTAAAAAAAAAAAAAAAAGCAAGTTTCCACAGAGGCCCTGCTCTCCCACCCCATCCCAGGGCTGCAAGAGAAAGAACCTTTCTCTGGAGAGATAGTAGCATGCATGTATGTGGCCTCAGATACTTGAGAGGTGAGACGGACAAACGGTGGGTGGTACTGAGCAAGAGGCCAACAACCAAATACAAACCCCGGGAAGTGGCAGACCGTGGCTAAAGCTCTCTGGTGGCCACTTGCAGCCTCCAGCTCCTAACTTAGGCTTCTTGAGACCAGAAAGTCTGGGGTTTGAGCTCCTGCCCCACAGCATGCACTGCCTGAGACAGGGGGCCTGTCCCACACAGTGCTGCAAAACACCACATTCCCCTTCACTCTGGCTAGAGTTCTGGGCCGACCTGACTGTTCAACCACCGGTTTTCAGTATCTCAGGTGTTATGTTGGTGATTTGTGTTTCTCGCTCTTCTTTGTATTGATCTTTAGAACTTGTTAAATTTTGTTGTTGTACTGAGTTGGAGCCCCACTACATAGCCCAGGCTGGCTTGGGACTTGCTATATAGACCAGGCTGGCCTCAGAGAGATGTCTGCCTCTGCCTCCTGCGTGCTGGGATTACAGGTGGGTGTGCATCTTGAACCCCCCCAAAATCCTCTGCTGTCTTCTGTTTCCTGTACAGGCCTGTGCCTGCAGAGGCTAGCTGCAAAGTAAGCGATCCTCACTGTCCTTTGGTATTGCGTGTTGCTGCTCTTATCACCAGATCCTTGATGCTGGCTGTGGCAACTTCTCAAGCTGTTCCAAGATGAAGATCCAGTTTGCAAAAGAAATTATGTGGCTGGGAATGAGTGCCAGCCTAAACTGTATGAAGCCCTGGGTGCATCCCCACCAATGTGTAAGCCAGGTGTAGTGGTGCACACCTATAATTCTAGCACTTAGGAGAGGAGGGCAAGAGGATCAGACATTTACGGTCATCCTTGACTATACACTAAGTTCAAGGCCAGTCTGTGTTATCTAAGACTGTCTCAAAAAGCAACAAAAAAGGTGCCAGAAAGATGGCTCAGTGGTTAAGAGCACCGGCTGCTCTTTCAGAGGTCCTGGATCAATTCCCAGCACTCACATGGTGTACTGTTAATTGTAACTCCAGTTCAAGGGGCTCTGATGATCCCTTCTTGACCTCTGCAGGTATCAGTTGCACAGGCATTACAAAAACATCTGTGCAGGCAAAATACCCATACATAATGCATCATGATGGCACCGGCTATTACTGGCACTTGGAAGTTTGAGGCAGGAGGATTCTAACTCTGAGGCTATCTTGGACTATATAGAGTTCTAGGTGTGCCTGGGCTGTAGAAGACTGTTCCTAGCACACACAACCCAATAAATGTGTGATAACAAAGCCAGGAGTGAGCATTTTGCCATCAACCCCCAAGCATCAGTGTTGGTCATGCTTGTGACCCCAGGGAAGAGGCCTCTCTCTAAAGGAAGCCCTTCAGTTCTCATTCTGCCTGATACCCACATCTTTGTGTGCACACACGGGAACATTTCCAGGACAACGCTGGACACAGCTCAGTAGGATGACAGCTTTTCTTCTTTGTTTAGTTTTTTGAGATAGGGTTTTTGTGTAGCTTTTATTGTCCTGGAACTTGCTCTGCAGACCAGACTGGCCTTGAGCTCAGAGATCTGCCTGGCTCTCTCCCCCAAAGGACAGTGATGACAGATGCATGTAGCTGGAGCTGGTGACCGTAGTCTCTGCCAGTGTGTGAGTTATCAGGTCAAGCAAACACATCTTTTTCTATGGAAAGGGAGAGTATCTCTCAGGCTTGGAATGAGGTGGTAGGTGAGAGG